ATTATTATTAAATTATCTTTATTAGAGTCTGATGGGTTTTTATTATTATTATTAAATTATGTTTATTAGAGTCTGATGGGTTTTATTATTATTATTAAATTATCTTTATTAGAGTCTGATGGGTTTTTATTATTATTATTAAATTATGTTTATTAGAGTCTGATGGGTTATTATTATTATTATTAAATTATCTTTATTAGAGTCTGATGGGTTATTATTATTATTATTAAATTATCTTTATTAGAGTCTGATGGGTTATTATTATTATTATTATTAAATTATGTTTATTAGAGTCTGATGGGTTATTATTATTATTATTAAGTTATCTTTATTAGAGTCTGATGGGTTATTATTATTATTAAATTATGTTTATTAGAGTCTGATGGGTTATTATTATTATTAAATTATCTTTATTAGAGTCTGATGGGTTATTATTATTATTAAATTATGTTTATTAGAGTCTGATGGGTTATTATTATTATTAAATTATGTTTATTAGAGTCTGATGGTTATTATTATTATTAAATTATGTTTATTAGAGTCTGATGGGTTATTATTATTATTAAATTATGTTTATTAGAGTCTGATGGGTTGATGGACAACATTAATTTATCTACTGTTTGTCTCAGAACCTGTACCTGAACTTTGGAGAAATCGGCACCAACATTAAAAACCTCATGGAGGATTTTCAAAAGAAGAGACCAAAAGGACAACAGAAGCTGGAGTCCATCAGTGACATGAAGGTAAGACAGGAAGTGAGACAGACGACAGGAAGTGAGACAGACGGCAGGCAGGAGACAGACGGCAGGCAGGAGACAGACGACAGGCAGGAGACAGACGACAGGCAGGAGACAGACGACAGGCAGGAGACAGACGACAGGAAGGAGACAGACGACAGGAAGGAGACAGACGACAGGAAGGAGACAGACGACAGGCAGGAGACAGACGACAGGAAGGAGACAGACGGCAGGCAGGAGACAGACGACAGGCAGGAGACAAACGGCAGGCAGGAGACAGACGCCAGGAAGTAAGACAGACGACAGGCAGGAGACAGACGACACAGGAGACAGACGACAGGCAGGAGACAGACGGCAGGAAGGAGACAGACGCCAGGCAGGAGACAGACGACAGGCAGGAGACAGATGACAGGAAGGAGACAGACGCCAGGCAGGAGACAGACGGCAGGAAGGAGACAGACGGCAGGCAGGAGACAGACGACAGGAAGGAGACAGACGGCAGGCAGGAGACAGACGACAGGAAGGAGACAGACGCCAGGCAGGAGACAGACGACAGGAAGGAGACAGACGACAGGCAGGAGACAGACGGCAGGAAGGAGACAGACGACAGGCAGGAGACAGACGACAGGAAGGAGACAGACGACAGGAAGGAGACAGACGACAGGCAGGAGACAGACGACAGGAAGGAGACAGACGACAGGAAGGAGACAGACGGCAGGAAGGAGACAGACGACAGGCAGGAGACAGATGACAGGAAGTGAGACAGACGACAGGAAGGAGACAGACGACAGGCAGGAGACAGATGACAGGAAGGAGACAGACGCCAGGCAGGAGACAGACGACAGGAAGGAGACAGACGACAGGCAGGAGACAGACGACAGGCAGGAGACAGCGACAGGAAGGAGACAGACGACAGGCAGGAGACAGACGGCAGGAAGGAGACAGACGACAGGAAGTGATACTTATTTTTTTCAACAGGGTTTTTATTCCTCAGTGCATCACCTGTCTCTCTCTATCTGCCTGTCTGTAGGCGTTTGTGGATAACTACCCTCAGTTTAAGAAGATGTCGGGCACGGTGTCTAAACACGTGACAGTGGTCGGCGAGTTGTCTCGTCTGGTTTCAGAGCGTCAGCTGATGGAGGTCTCCGAGTTGGAGCAGGAACTGTCCTGTCAGAACGACCACTCCAACGCCCAGCAGGTAGAAAGCACCAACACACTCCATACTGCCCCCTGCAGGCAGAGAGAAGTATCACACACTGCTCCATACTGCCCCCTGCAGGCAGAGAGAAGTATCACACACTGCTCCATACTGCCCCCTGCAGGCAGAGAGAAGTATCACACACTGCTCCATACTGCCCCCTGCAGGCAGAGAGAAGTATAACACACTGCTCCATACTGCCCCCTGCAGGCAGAGAGAAGTATAACACACTGCTCCATACTGCCCCCTGCAGGCAGAGAGAAGTATAACACACTGCTCCATACTGCCCCCTGCAGGCAGAGAGAAGTATAACACACTGCTCCATACTGCCCCCTGCAGGCAGAGAGAAGTATAACACACTGCTCCATACTGCCCCCCCTGTTTCCTGTTTCAGAGCGTGCGCCGGCTGCTGCAGAACCCCCGTGTGTCGGAGCTGGACGCCGTGCGGCTCGTCATGCTCTACGCTTTGAGATATGAGCGCCATAGCAGCAGCATCCTCCCGTCTCTGATGGACGAGCTGAGCCGGAGGGGCGTGTCTGAACGACACCGCAGGGTATGATGTCACTGCACACTCTGCTGTGATTGGACACAATGCTTTGCACTCATTAAAACAGCAACACAGTCAAAATATCAAAACATTTACATTTTTTTGATTAAACTTCTTACAGATTGTTTAAGTACATGTCAGCTCTGGTCTAACACGTCTCTCTCTCTCCCTCTCTCACTCTCTCCCTCTCTCCCTCTCTCACTCTCTCTCTCT